ATAATGTTACAATTAATGTACACCAAACTTATAGTGATGACATATGGGAAAAGACCTGTGCACATTGCATTTTAAAAGAATCAAAATATCTTTAAATGGTGTTAAGATATGCGCGAGTGGATGATTGACGAGGCGTGATTTCTGATAGCAAACTCACTAACAGCTTTATTATAATTTGTACAAGATAACGTGACTTGTATTGTAATGTAACGTGTGATATAAATCGCAAGGCGTTGCAAGCTTGAGCGCAGGGACCAATCTGAGGGAAAGGGAAGACGAGCCCCGGCCGCACTTCTGCCAACCAAGAGAAACTACTAGAATAAACCCCATCTATCTGGCGGGACCACAGTCCAATTTGAATTGCACATATCTCTACACTCCTCCTCAATTCAATGTAGGACTGAAACATACTAAAAAAATAGACAAATAATTAGACATATAAATGACAGTTTAAAGTTGTGTTCTCAGTCTTCTGACGACGTTCTTCCGATGAGTCCCAGGCTTAGACGCAACTTCACATTTTGGTCATTTGGTAGCGCCTTTGTCAGGATGTCGGCAATTTGATCTTTTGAGCAAAGGTAGTTGACATCTATAAGACCTTTTTCTGACAGATCTTGAATAAAGTTGTACTTGACATCGATGTGTTTAAGGCGTCGATGTCCCCGTTTTCGCAACAGGTGTATACATGATTGATTATCCTCGAAAATCTTCAGTGGTCTTGAGCAAGCAATTCCTAAATCTGCTAACAGATTCTTCAACCATAGTAACTCGGACGCAGCCATCGCCAGAACGACGTATTTCGCTTCAGTTGATGATAGCGCGACCGATGTTTGCCTTCTCGTGACCCAGTGAACTGTGTTTCCGTATATCTTCATCAAGAAACCTGAAGTTGATTTCCTATCAGTTTCGCTGCCATAGTCCGCATCTGCATAGCAAAGTAGGGCTTCCTGTTCTCCTTTCCGAAAATGAAGTCCTAGGTTAAGTGTACCTTTAATGTATCTCAATACTCTTTTAAGTCCTTTCCACAGAGCCTCTGTCTGACAATTCTGATATCTGCTGTAATAATTTACGGATGCACTTAGATCTGGTCTCGTAGTCATCATCGCATACATCAAACATCCTATTAGTTCACGATACGGCCTTGATTCATCGCAAGATTCTTCTTCTTCATGTACTAAAGGTTTCAGTTCCATCGGCGTCTGGACTGGTTTGCATTCCTCCATATTGAATCTGTTTAACAGCCTGCGGAGGTAGAGCTTCTGGCTCAAAATAATTTCTCCATCAGATCTTGATATGGTGATCCCAAGAAATGAATGTAATTTACCTAGATCCGTCATGTAGAATCTGTTCTTCAGTGCTGACTTTATATCTTCAATCTTCTTTAGGTCATTTCCAGCTATTATTATATCATCAACGTACAAGAGAAGATAGATTGTAATGTTTCCAAATATTGCTATATAAAGACATTTATCTGTCTCCGATTGTGTAAAGCCGAGACTTTTTATATAAGTGTCAAAGGCTTCGTTCCAAGCACGGGGGGCTTGCTTTAACCCGTACAAGGCTTTCTTCAGCTTACATACTTTACCCTTCTTACTCTTAATTCCTGGTGGTATCTTCATGTATATTTCTTCTTTTAATTCATCTTGTAAAAATGCATTTTTTACATTCATCTGGTAGGCTTATAAATCTTCTTCATTGATCACCGACAATAACGTTCTCACTGTTGTAAGTCGGGCAACTGGTGCGTATGTCTCTTCATAGTCATAGCCCTTCCGTTGAGCACATCCTTTGATAACCAATCGTGCTTTATGTCTGTAAATTTTCCCATCTTTGTCTCGCTTTATCTTGAAGATCCATTTGTTATCTATGAGACGTTTTCCTGGAGGTAATTCCGTTAACTCCCATGTATCATTCTTTATCAGAGAGTCTATCTCCTCCTCAACTGCACGTGTCCATTCTTGTTTGTCGTCACGCGTTTGAATTTCTTCATAGCTGCCTGGTACATTATCCACGAATGATTCAGCATTTAGTGCCAATATTGCATAGTCATTAAGATATTGTGGCTTTCTTGTTATTCTGCCGCTTCTTCTAACCGTTTCTTCTTCCTGTATCGAATCTTCCGTGTCAGTACTTTCTTCCGCGTGTTCTTCGTGCTCATCAACGTTTTTAGCTTTATCTAGGTTCGAATTAACAGTTCGACTGTTTTCTTCGTCCTCTTGAGTCTCTTCTTTGTTCATAATCCAATCTTCAGTGGTTGATCCATCAAATAAGAATCTTGTTTCGTCAAATATGACATCCTTTCCAAAGATGATTTTCCTATCTTCTGGACACCATAGCTTGTAGCCATTTTTGCAATAGCCAACCATGTAGCATTTCTTAGTCCTTGACTCGAACTTCCCTGCTACTATTTCCTTCGGGACACGCAGGAATGCAATGCACCCAAAAATCTTTAATTTCTTCACATTCGGTTTCTCATCAAACCACAGTGCCGCTGGTACTTTTTCATCTAATGCTGATGTGGGGTTCCGGTTGATCAAGTACACTGCTGTCAAGACTGCTTCCGACCAAAACGATTTTCCGAGTTTCGAATTGAGAATCATGCGTCTTGCTTTTTCGATGATCGTGCGATTCATCCTTTCCGCCACTCCATTTTGTTGCGGCGTATATCTTATTGTAAACTCGAATTGGATTCCTTTTTCCTCGAAGAAGCTCTTGATTTCTTTCGAAATATATTCGCGTCCGTTATCACAGCGGAAACGACTGATTTTTAAATTGAAGTGCGCGGTCGCCATTGCTTCGTAGATTTTAAGATATTTAAATACTTCCGATTTAGATTCCATCGTGTATGCCGCTGTGAAGTGTGTGTAGTCGTCGATCAGGGTTAGCAGATATTTCTTTCCATCGTGAGATGTCGGATTAACAGGACCTACAAGGTCACTATGGATAAGTTGTAAAGGCCGCTTTGCACGAACGCGCTTCTGATCATGTGGTTGTCGTGTTTGTTTTCCTTCGATGCACGTGTCACATATTTCCATGCTTGATTTTGTCAGGTCCCCACTAATTCCTTCGACTTGTCCTTGAAGTTTCTTCACGCTCTCGCAGTTGAGGTGTCCTAATCTCTTGTGCCACAGCTTCAGATTTTCAGTCGGTGTGCAAGCGTTTGCTGAAATCAATTTTTGTCTAAAGCTCAGTGCATATAATTGCGTTTCACTTCTCGATGCCTCAGCAACAATACTTTTACCTTTTTGAATAATGCCTTTTCCATTTTTAAATATAACTTCAAAACCGTTCATCTCTAACTTACGTACTGACAGAAGATTGAATTTCAATCCTGGTACCGAAAGAACATTCTTGATTTTTATAGGAACTTCTTTTCCATTAACAATACTGACGACTTCGAGTTCTCCGACTTTATTTGCAAGTAGAAATGTTCCAGCCTTAGCGATGTTGATCTTCACAGGTTCATCGAGCTCTTCAACGTGAGTTAATGCAACGCTGCTGTTAACTAGGTGTTCCGTCGCTCCAGAATCCAGTAAATATTTAAGAGAGGATTCACATTGCGTCCGATCACGTCCGATGTTCGACGTACGACGATCCGACATCCAATAACAGAATTTATTATTAGAGACAAAAATTTCCTATTGGATGTCGGATCGTCGTACGTCGAACATCGGACGCAGTGTGAATCCTCCATAATTTCGTCTTCCGACTCGCCGCTGGTAGTCGCCGAGAAACAGAAATTTTCTTCATCCGCAGTCTTATCTTTAACCGCTACTTGAGCCTTGCCGTTTCCGACGTTTTCGCGTTTTCCTTGAGGCTTCTTTCGACAGTCGGCTCTCTTGTGCCCATACTGACCACACTGATGGCAATTAAAGGGAAAAGGTTGTGTCTTGTTGAATTTATTCGTTCCCGAGTTCGCTCCTTTTCTTGATGATGAAAAAGCTGTCGCCGAAGGTATTTCAGTCTTGTTTTTCCTAATTCCAAAGCTCTTCCGCTTCGATTCCTCGTCCAAGAGTCTATTCTTGACAAAGCCTAGCGATAACTCGTCCTTTGAGAGGGTTTCAAGTGCTGTTACAACAGTGTCGTATTCAATCGGCATCGTTAACAGAAGATGGCACACAACGTCGGTTTCTTCCAGGGTAGCACCCGTTGAACGAAGTTCTCTAATCAATTTATCGAATTTTAAGAAATGATTTCCGAGCGTGTCGTTAGTCGCATTAAATTTCATGGTAAGAAGTGACTTACGAATGAGAAGCTGACTGGCAATACCTTTACGTTCGAAGGTTGCACACAAGGATGTCCATAAATTAAACGCAGTTTTCTTATCTTTCGCACATTCTAGATGACTGTCAGCAATTCTCTGAATAATTTGCGATTTGCACTTACGATCACGCTTTTCCAGTTGAACCAAATGCCTTTCCTTTTCCGTGCGCTGCTCTGCCGTATCTGAATCTAGAATTTTCACCTTATCCGTGTACGGCTCTTCCACGAATTCGTACAAATCCATTTCCTCAAGCAACATTTGCATCCTGAATTTCCAGTTGCTAAAGTTTGTTCCGTCAAATAACGGAATGCGATACTTCTCCACCTCGTCTGCCATGTTCCCGACTGTTCCAGAATATTCCAGAAGACAAAGGTTATGTGTATAGAGCGAAATGCTTTTTCACTTATTTCCGCGGATATCTGGGCCCATAACCTGTTAAGATATGCGCGAGTGGATGATTGACGAGGCGTGATTTCTGATAGCAAACTCACTAACAGCTTTATTATAATTTGTACAAGATAACGTGACTTGTATTGTAATGTAACGTGTGATATAAATCGCAAGGCGTTGCAAGCTTGAGCGCAGGGACAAATCTGAGGGAAAGGGAAGACGAGCCCCGGCCGCACTTCTGCCAACCAAGAGAAACTACTAGAATAAACCCCATCTATCTGGCGGGACCACAGTCCAATTTGAATTGCACATATCTCTACAAATGGCTCACTTGAGTCGAATGTATATTACACAACTGTAGGAATTACATTACTTATTGTGGAAAAAAATAACTTGAATACAAGATATATCCTCAAAATGTGGTATACACTTGTATCTTAATACATACCTAGTAGATACTGATGTTAATGTTTCATGGCAACTCGTTGAGTCCATCATCAACAGATCTAAATCTTGTAAGTGCTCAGTGACTTCTGCGGGGGATGGTACTGGGGTCGAAGATCGTATCGGAATATTAGTGCTCGTGGATGGGCAAACCAAATGAAACTCCCGCCTGATCACATTCATATTATCTTCTTCACGAGATGCTCTAAATAAAAGAAGGAAAAAGTTATTGTAATTTCATATATATACTACAGAAAGACTACAATTGCTAGCTTTGTAATTTTAATAAATATCAGAGCAATGAAAATGATTGTTATATCTCGTCTAATAAATTCATAAATAATATATTATAGTACTATATATTATTAACGATATGGAGCTATGGTTAAAAAAGGACTATATTGATTTTTCCTTGTTAACTTACTGTTCATTTAATGGCAGTAGATACAATGTAGGTACAGCGGATGGCAAAAGACTCCGCCTTTTTGAAATCTTTTCTGCCGCAGCTCTCTTCCTCTTCGGCTGAACAAATGACTCTGGCGTAAAGTGCATTGAACAAATTCTTGCTGTAATAACAAAAAATCGTAATGTATTTTGTTGATGTATGAACATCACCTTTAATTTACTCAAATAAGCATAAACATTTACATATATTATTGTTCGAGAAGTCGAACATGTGCCGCGCGCGCCTGACGAAGGCGCGCCCGGCCAACACGCGCTTATCAGATTTCGCGGCTCGCCGCGGCGCGTCGCCGGCTCACATACATTTACTCGTGTTTAAAGTACGCTCGAGTAGCAATTTAAGGCGAGCTGCGCACAGACCAGCATCGAATCCTACCGCTATACTCTACGATCTCGTGTCGAGGAAGCGTTGAGAGAGTCGAAACATAACTATTTTGTAGCGTCGAGTGAGATTCCCTCTCCTCCGCGCAGTAGTAGTCGAGCATCGAGAGACTTCTCCTCCGCTCATTGCACTCCTTTGGAGCCATCGTGGAGACCGCGGCCCCCTCCAAGCCGGACGCCCCTTCCGAGCCCGGCACTGTGGAAGCGGAGGCACGGAGTGGCCCCACTCCAACAGCGACCAGAAGGAAGAGGTGCCGAACCAGGACGCGGAGCCAGAGACGAAGGAAGCGTCTCTCCTACCCGCCAGCACCGCAGGGGCGGCACGCAAACCGAGCAGAGCCCGCGAAACCGGGACCTCAGAAGCGGCACGCGAAGGGGGCGGAGCCCGCTAAACCGGTGTCGCAGGAGCGGCACCAGGAGACACCGGCCCTTTCGAAACCTCGCTTTTCCAACCAGCCAGTGCTGCAGGAGTGGCAGGTGAAGAGACGGGAGCTTGACAAGGGACAGGCGATACGTCCGTGGAAGCTAGTTCCACTGGAGCTCCCGGAGGTGCGTTGCACTAGGCCCGCTGGACTGATCCTCCGGAAGCGAGATTGCCGCATTTTGCGACCATCGGCCCTCCACTTGATCCGCGTCAAGGAAACGCGAAACACGGTGTGTCAGACAGTGCTCACGCGAGCTTTCCTGGCCCCTTCATCGCCAGTGGACCCACCGGATCAACCGACGGACAAGCCACCTCTCACTCCGGGCTCTAAACTCGACCTGAACAATAACTCGGTCCCCTCCAAGCCCCTTGCAAAGAAGGCCATCCGCCAAATTAAATTTTGAAACCGTGCGTTAGCACTTATATTTTGATTAGGCGCCTTCAAGGCGCCACCTAAGACAACGCAAACATAATGTGTGTAATTTAGACACAGAATATATTGTTTTGTTATCAAATCTTGTCTCGATGACTCACCGCCACCGCCCTGATCCCTATTGCGACTCCACCATATCGAACAATTATACTACAATTTATTAATTAGCATTATATTTATTATTATTAAGACTTACCGTTCACCGTATTGGAAGGAAGGACAACTTCTCCGATATTTTTGTACCATCCTTCACGCATGATTTGGTTTTCCGGTATTTTGTGGAAACTGACTTTCTCCGGAGTACACGTTGTATTGGTGTTTTTACAATTTTTTACAATACACCACACCATTTTTGCGTTCTCCAAGCTCCTCAAATCAATTTTCAAAATTAAATAAACGTTGTCTAGTAAGTGGAGGTTGAAAATACACACAGACACTTTACCTGAAAGAGACAGACGACGACAGAGGAGTACGAGATAGATACACACCGCGATTCACGTGCAAGATAGACGCTACTAGTACAAGTAGTCCCAAACTTTCAACGCTAAACATTTTGTTTCTCACAGTTGCCCACCCTGTGTATTTCGGTGACAATCTGACAATCACCTTGAAAAGGGGCGTGGTTTACGAGTTCTGAGCACACCATGTATATTTCCACCATGGTAAGTAGTTATTATTATCCAATCTTCGAGAATCTTTTTGCAGAAGCGTAAATTAATTGAAATTAATTGAATTTTTTTAAAGCTAATTTCCCTTATTGAAGAACTGGTAATGAACGGACATGCTGAACAAGTAGCATAGGACCAGATGAAGCTAGAAACACTTGAATCCATCTGTACATAAGAGTTGTCAAGAAACTCTACAATTTTCACGCATAATCCGTGATTCTTAGTCAGTATGGACTAGAGTTTAATACAATCGCCATTGATGATCCCCTTTAATCGCGTCAAAATTGATTATTTTGCTTTTTTACCTCGTTTTTTACTCATGTTGTAAAATAGTTTTTTTGATTGTGTAGAATATTTATATTTAGAAAGAAAGAAATTTATAAAGATTGCTATATTGATCTTAGAGTAGAGAAAACAATAACTTAACATTTTACAAAGTAGTGTCACATTTAAACTAGAACATTTGTATCAAATAACTCAGACGAATTAGGAAATTTGTTTTTACATGACTAATATCTATTTCTCATTGGGGACGATCAAGAACTCATTGAAATAATTTAATTTCTTTTCACATTTAAATTTAGGTCATCATAGATTAAAATTGTTACTTTAGAAGTTATTGTTAAATGGTTGTTCGGAAGCGCGAGGTTGCGCGGGAAGGCGCGAGGTGCAGGACGACCACAAGAAAGTTCACAGTACGTAACCAAGATTAAGAGTTTATAATGTTCCAAAATCATATATATACAGTTATTTACAGAGTGTTTCTTTTAGATTTAACAAACGTAGAAAGCGGTAACACGCACAGGCGTTCGAATGGCAAGCAGCGATAGCAAGCAGAATAGATTTCCTCGCGGAAAGCGGTGTATAAAACGGTCGTATAGCGATACGTGTTGCGAGCGAAAAAACCGAAAGCGTACTCTGCTCGCCGCGGCACGGCGAAGGGCTTTTATCACCTCCCAAAACGAGGCTCTTTCCAGAAATTTCCACCCATTTTCGGGAAGGTGATTGGCCCTCGGTGACCTACGTCACCGTGCCTGCGTCATGGTTCAATTCGACGATCGTTACATGTTTTCGCCAGAATTGTTTACAGCTTGTATCCTTCCTTTGTTTGAGACCTTGTTATTGCGAACCGTTAGCTTGACTTTATTATTGTCACAGAATTGTTATTACAGAATGTTCTCGAAAGCGAATATTGGAAGGATCCATGCTGTGAATTTGCAGCGATGCGATTTCTGTAATGCGAGATGTTACGCGAATATTCATTGTCGCAATAGTGCATGCGCTGTCATGCAACCGAACGCGGTTTTCGAGATGCCGTTTATTACGATCTCAAACAATGGTGCGGTATATATTTGATTAATAAGTAATTTATCTGAGACTATTTATTTATTATTGAAAAAATTAATAATTATTTTTCATTAATTATTAATTTTTAAATAAATAATTATTTATCTATATATATAAAAATGAATGTATGTATGTATGTCCTTTATACACTCTTGAACTATTCGACCGAATTTTTACCAAAAGTATATAAAATAGGGGTAGAATTTTCCGGGAAGTGTTATAGAGTGTATAGTTTTTTGTTACTGATCTTTTTGGAAATCGGTATCCGAAAGTAGTGTTGACTGTGAAAATTTAATAACGTCAAAGGTGGCACTAAATAAGTTTTCACTAAATAATTAATTGCTCGCGACAGTCACGAATTGAAGTGACTGATTTATCAGTTTTGACACATAATATGTGAAAGCAGCAACTTCATAACATAACATAGACAAATGACACAGACACTACGCGGCGCATCGTCGTATATTTTTGCATTATTAAGATTCAACATTGACCTCTATATCTAGGGCAGCGACATCATCCTTTGATTTACCCTTGAAACTTGGTGACATTTATGAGTATATGTTCGGCTCAG